ACAGGGACACACCTGAGCCCCCCAGGGGACAGGGACACACCTGAGCCCCCCAGGGGACAGGGACACACCTGAGCCCCCCTCACCTGTACAGGGACACACCTGAGCCCCCCCAGCCCCCCTCACCTCCTTGCTGGTGATGAAGGTCATGAAGACGTCGTCGCTCACGGTCGTCGTGGCCACGTTGGGCCCGGGGGCGTCGAACTCCGAGTTCCCAAACTTCTTCCAGTTCTGGGAGCGGGAACAGAGGGCGGGAAAGGCACCGGAACACCCCGGGAAACCCGGGGGGGAAGTGGGGGGATGGAAGGGGAAAAGGCTGTGGGTGGAAATCCCTCCACGTTCCCAAGGGAATCCCCTCTCCAAATGGCATCACATTCCCAAGGAAATCACTCCCCATTCCCAATGGAATCCCCCCATTCCCACGGGAATTCTCTCACCTTCCGACGGGCCACGGCCTTGGAGGCCTTTCTGGTCTCGATGCGGAAGGTCCGGATGATCTGGGAAAACAGGGAAAAACAGGGATTGGGGCGGGGGGAGGGGCGGGAGGGGCACCTGGGGGCACCTGAGCCCACCTGAGCCATGGCCTCACCTTGACCTTGCGTCCATCCTCCTCCTCCCGATATTCCGTGATGGTTTTGATGTTCCCGTTGATCAGCTCCTTGGGGGATGGGAGGGGCCCTGCAGAGACAGGTGGGGGGTCCAGGGCCAGGTGAGACCCCCCCAGGGGTGACCCTGGGCCAGGTGAGACCCCCCCCAGGGGTGACCCCGGGCCAGGTGAGACCCCTCAAGTGTTTGTGGGAATTCAGGGGGGTCCAGGGCCAGGTGAGACCCCCCAGGGGTGACCCAGGGCCAGGTGAGACCCCCCCAGGGGTGGCCCCGGGCCAGGTGAGACCCCCCAGGGCTGGCCCAGCTCTCACCTCCCTTGAGCAGCTCGGCCTCGGCGCTGGAGGGGCCCCCCAGGACCCCGGGCAGGGGGAGGTCCTTCAGCAGCTCACTCGTGATGCATTTGTCTGGGGGGACAGGTAAATGCTCACCTGGGCACAGGTAACACCCACCTGGGCACAGGTGACCCCCTCAGCTGGGGGGAGACACCCCCTTCACCTGGGCACAGGTGACACCCCCGGCAGGTGACACCCCCGGCAGGTGACAGCCCCACCAGGTGCCCCAGGTGTGACTCACCATCCTCTCCTCCCTCCTCCTCCACCTGGTCGGCCCAGCTGGGCTTGGAGCTGCCGGGGAGGAAAAACCACCTCAGACCCCCCGTCACTGTCACCCCCCCCTCAGACCCCCCTGTCATTCCCCCCCGGGGTCACTGTTTCCTCCCCTTCAGGGTCCATCCAGACCCCCGACACGGGACAACTGGGACCCTCCGGGACCCCCGTCCGGGACCCGCCAGGCCCCGGGACCCTGCAGGCCCCAGCCCCGCTCCCGGTTCCCTTCCGCCCCTCCCAGGCCCGATGCCCCCCAAACCCGAATCCCGCTCCCGAATCCAACCCCAAACACCCCCAAATACCCCAAATACTCCAAACCCCCCCCGATAAGCGCGTCCGTCCCCTCCGTCCCCCCTCACTCGAAGTCCCCGGTCGGCATCGCCTCCGCCGCCCTCACGCTCCCAACCGGAAGGACCCGCCGCCACTTCCGGCAGGAACAGGCCGCGCGCGGGGCATGACGGGAAGCGGTTGCTTAGCAACGCCCCGTGGGGCCCTGCGGCCTACTCGGGGCAACAAAAAGTTATAAATAAAGGTTTATAATTTATAGGCGCGATTTATTTGAAGAAATATTACAACATATAAAAACTACATAAAGTATCGAGTCCCACTTGTACAAAGCGGCCGCGGGGGTTCGGGAGAATTGCGATAAAAACGGGGGAGCGGGGCCGGGCCTGGCGGGGGGCGGGGGGGGGGGACAGCGGAGGGAGGGAGGGGCTGGGGGGATGTGTAAAATAAAAAAGAAATAAAAAACAAATGGAAAGCAAAGTGAAAATAATCAAAATTAAAACAGAAGAAAAGGGGGAAAAAATTTAGAAAAAGCAGGAAAAAAGAGGGAAAAAAGATAAAAAGACAAAGGAAAAAAGAGGGGAAAAGGGGGGAAAGAAAGAGAAATACAGTAAAAAGGGGAAGGAAAAATAAGAGGAAAAAAGAGAAAAAAATGAGCGGGGAAAAGAGGGAGAAAAGAAAAAAGAAGAAAAAAGAGAAAATAAGAAAAAGAGAAAAAAATTGGAAAAATGAGAAAAAAAGAGAAGAGAAAAAAAAAAGAAGGGGGAAAAAAGAAAAACAAAGCAAAGCAAAAATCCCCAGAAAAGCCCAAACCAGCCAAACCAACCCAGGCAGCCCCAGGCCCCCAGACCCCCCCAGGGGTCTCTCCGGGCTCCGGTGCCGCCTCAGCCGGCAGCTTCCAAGGGCTCCAACGGCTCCATCGGTGCCACCCGGGAACCTGCGGGGACAGCGGGGACACAGTGACACCAGGACACCTGGGGACACCCCTGACAACGGGGACACCAACAGGGACCCCTGGGAGGGGACAGTGACACCCCAAACCCACCAACCCCAACAGGGACCCCTGGGAGGGGACGGTGACGCTGGTGACCCCCCTGACCCCAATGGGGACCCCTGGGAAGGGACGGTGACACCCCCACACCCACTGACCCCAATGGTCCCACCTGTGAGCCCCAGGAGGAGATGGTGACACCAGTGACCCCCCTGACCCCACATGGTGACCCCCCTGACCCCAATGGTGACCCCCCGTGCCGGTCACTCACCGGCCGTGTCCTGGCGCAGTTTGGCCACAGCGCAGGCCTTGATCTCCAGCCCGATGGCCTTGGCCAGGGGAGGGGGCACCGCGTTGCCCACCTGGACAACGGGGACACCGGTGACACCGGGACCACCAGGATAATGGGACAACAGTGACACCAGACACCAGGACAACAAGGACAGTGGGACAACAGGACACTGGGACACCAGGGACACCGGGGACACCGGGGCCACGACACCGTCACAGGGACACCACCACGGCAGGGCCGGCACTGACCTGTCTGTGCTTATCCAGGATGTTCCCGAAGAGCCGGTAGGTGTCCGGGAATCCTTGGGAACGGGCACATTCCCTCACACTCACCACCCGGTGCTGCTCCGGGTGCAACACTCGGCCCTGCAACGCCGACAGACGCCGAGGGTTGGGATGGGGACCGTGGTGGTTGTTGGGCACCTCCAACCCAACCCACCCAACGGTTGGTCACCGGTGTTTTCCCCAGCACCCCCCGCCCTCCCCGGCGGCGCCCATGGCCTCGGGGGCCCCCCACCTGCTTGCCCATGGGCTCGGGGTTGGTGACGGTGGTGCTGAAGAACCCGTCCCACTCCAGGCGCCCGTAGAGCCCGGCCCAGTGGTTGTGCCGGTTGCCGGTGTGGGGGAGGCACCACGGGATGAGGGTGTTGAACTGCCGGTCGGCCGGGTCGCACGGCTTCCCTGGGAAGGCGACAACTGTGAGTCTTGGGGGGACAAACCCGCCCGTGGACGTTGTTTTTTGGGGGGTCCATCCACCCCCCAGACCCACCCTCGGCGCAGGAGCAGACGCCGCGCAGGGCCCCGGAGCTGCTCCGGCCGTTCTTCCTCTCGTGGTGGGTGTAGCGCAGCTTCCGCGTGGTCGTCCCGTCCGACAGACGCACCTCGATGTTGGGCAGGTCCCTCCAGTCGGAGCCGGGCGCCAGCGGGATGTGCCGCATCCGCGCCGCCACCAGCGCGCTCATGTCCTGCCAGGGACGAGCCCTGGGGTCACCGCGGGGGGACGGCGGCCACCACGGGAACACGGGGGGCCAGGAGGGGGGAGAGGGTGGTTCCCGAGGGCTACGGGTGGCTCCTGGTGGCCCCACCAGTTCTCAACACCTCCACCAGTTCCCAACCAGTTCCCAACACCTCCCCCAGCCCCATTTTTGGGACAGTCACCCCGGGAGGCCTTGGGGACAATCCCTGCCCTGGGAGTGCCCTCGACCCTCTCCCAGTTGCTCCCAGTTGCTCCCGGCCCAGCCCCGCGGCCGCCCCACCTTGCAGATGTGATCCCTGAGGATGGGCTGGTACTGGGAGCCGCGGATCTGCCGCTGGAACCAGGACTGGGGCTCCCCGTTGTAGGAGATCTCCAGGGCCGAGGCCCCGTTCCGGATCTCCGGCAGGTCCGACATCGTGTCCCGCACCGTGATGGTGCGGAAAGGCCCGGAATACGTCCTGGGGGAGGGAGGGGGGAGCCGTGAGCCACCGGGACCTCCCGTCCCCAGCCTGGCAGCAGCCCCGGGGCCTCACCTGGTGATGTTGCTGACGAACTTCTTGTCGTCCACGACGACGCTGAGCTGACACGCCCGCGGCGCGAACACGTGGAGCGGCTCCGGGAACATCGGGAGCTTCTCGCCCGGAGCCGCCGCCAGGACGATGGCCCGGCGCCGGGTCTGGGCCACCCCGTACTGCCCGGCCTGGGGGGACAGGGGACACCTCCTGAGGGCACCGGGGGGTGACCTCGGAGAGGTGGGAACGGGGGAAGCACAGGGGGTCAAGTGGTTCTTTGGAACGGGAAGGGGCAACTCCTGAGGGAACTGGGGAGTCCTCGGAGAGCTGGGAATGGCCCCAGGTCACCCCAGGGGTCAAGTGGTCCTTTAAAGGACCAGTTCCCTTCCTTTGGGAACGTCCCCAAAGGCGCCCAAGGAGTCAAGTGACCGGATCCCTTCCTTTGGGAATGCCCCCAGGTCACCCCAGGAATCGACTGCTCTCCTGAAGGACCAGCTCCCTTCCTTTGGGAACGTCCCCAAAGGTGCCCAAGGAGCCACCCACCCAACTCACCCTCGGGATGGGACGACCCAGGGTGGGCCCAGGTGCCAGAAAAGGGGGTTTTGCCCCCCCAGACCCCCCCCCCAGCCCCACCTGGAGCACCCCGAAGGTGCACTGGTAGCCCATGCGGACGAGGCAGCGCAGGGTGAGCTTGAGCACCATGGAACGCTTGAAGGACACGAAATTCCGGACGTTCTCCAGCAGGAAGAAGCGGGGCCGGTAATAATCACAGTAGCTGCCGGGCACAGGGGGCACGGGCACGTTGGAGGCGGGGTGGGGAGGGGTCTCCCCCGCCCCAAAACCCCCCTGCCCAGCGCTCACCTGAGGAAGGAGACCACCAGGGAGTTCTTGAACTTGGAGTAGGTGCGGGAGTTGAAGCGGTTCATGCCGCTGAAGCCCTGGCAGGGGGGGCCCCCGCAGAGCATCTCCACGTCCCCCTTCTGGGGCAGCTTCTGGCCCAGCGAGTTGGTTTTCTCGCCGGCCATGACCAGCTTGAGCAGCACGTTGCAGTCCTCGGTGAACACCGTGGTGCCGGGGTTGTTGAGCCGGAACGCCTGCGCCGCCGGCTCCCACATCTCGATGGCCCACAGCGTCTCCGAGACCCCTGGGGGCACCGACACGGGGGGTCAGCGGGGC